GGGCGCGCTGCGGTCCGTCTCCGGCGCGAGCCACCGACGGCACTGCGCTCTGCAAGTTTCAAATACGCAGCAAGTCTATTTTCGCCGGAGTACGCTGCAAGTTCGCGTCAAGCTGGACAGAATATGACAGCCCGGACAGGAAGTCAGACAAGGAAACGCACAGAGCATCCGGTCAATTTCAAAATAAAACACAATATACGGACTCGCGATCGTATTTTTCATCACTTTATCAACATGACGTCAAAACAGGAACCGAATTAACAACAATGCATCCTCAGAAGGACAAAGCAACATGTTGTTTGCGTGTTTTTCTCTTTATTCCCGCGGGATCTTGTGTCATGGGTGCGCTCCGCTGCGCTGACGTCCCAGAAACAGATCCAGTGTGAATGGGCGCGAGCCGTCCGACGGAGCAAAACCGTGGCGCTGACGGACCGCGGCGTGCACAGAGTATGTGTGAATTACGGGTAAGAGGCTCATGAGGGTGAGCAGCCCTGGTCTAATAAAGTCAATCCGTGTGTTAACATTGTCTTGACTAGGCCTTCTCTAAAACGTAACGTTGTAGCCTTCTACTTTAACGTTGTCACAGTATCCAGCGTATTGCTGAATCAGGCTTACCTTGGGGCAGCGTCCCGGCGCTAATGAAAGCCAGTAACAGGAAACAAGCTGAATCCATCCTCATGAAGTATCACTCGGGCTTTGTACACTCCTGTACTGTGCTTCAACAAAAGTGGAGCGCAAGTCCTTCCGAGCTGTACAAATATGTGGCGGAGTAATGTCTTCCGTTTTTATGGTGAAGAGGCGTGGAAAGTCCGAAACATACCAAAGTCCGTCGGTCAGTGAAGGCAGCGCAGGTGAAACTAAGCGCGAGGACAGGCGAAAGCTCCGCGGGGATTTTGCTGCCGCCCTCAAGGACTGTCGGAAACATGGAAACTCCCAGCGAACAGTGAAACACCTTCAAAGTCTTTTATTTTTTATTTTTTTAACATTCAACAGCAATGAGTCGCTTTATTTTTCGCCCAAAAGCTTGATATAGTAGGTTAGTTTTCAACCTTACGGCTTTATTAGACAATAAACGTAGCTTTATTAGGGACACGTGAAGGTAGCACAACACTGCTCCACCTTCTTTCTCGAAATGTCAATGAACACTCATCAGAAGAATCCCCCGTGTGATTCAGAGCGCTGTATCTTAGGGGATTTCCTACAAATGTAATTTGTTAAATGGCTAGCCTTAGAAAACATAAAATAGAAAACATAAAATAGACTGTAATAATGGCCTATTCATACATGATTAAGTTGCTGTAGCCTAAGTGGTACCATATCTACTTATCTATTTGAATAAGAACTAGCAGACAAAACATTGCTACTTAGGTAGCATACAGTTAGAGTGTATAGCTTTACAAAGACTATTAAATATAAAGTGATTAGTAGACTACCTATTTATTCAGGCTACAGCATGATCTTAATTTGATTAATTAAACAGCAAAAACAGAAAGAAAGAAAGAAATGAATAACTGAAAGCAGTTGTGAAATGTGAAACTCTCAGACCATGTAACAGTCATTCTGTGAAGTCACATCACGGTGATATAAATATCCAGAATAGGCTGAACAGAAATAACCAAAGGAGTTACAAAAGTAACCAAAGATTAATTAAATTGTGTATTTTTTAAATCTTTTTTTATTCTCTGATAAACACGCGATGTGTTATCTCTGACATTTTTTTACGAGTTGACATTTATAATAAAAATTAAAAAAATTTGAATGACAGACGTCTATTCAGATACACAGGGGTGTATTTTATAAAATACAGCGTAGTTATTAGGATTCCTAAACACCCGGATTAAAATACTTAAAAACTGTGTGCTGGTCTCCAGGCTGTTTGGCGTTTCTAAGCTCTAAGTGTTCCTGTATACTTAGCTGTGGATCCCAGTGGTTCTGTGTCTCTGCTTGTGTTGATACCATATACAGTAAATATTAAATGAAGTCTGAGTGGTGACACCCAACTGTTACTGCAGGGGGTGCTGGAGTCCCATCAATGGTGGTCTTCATGCTGGAAATGCTGTCTCGCTCAAACTTTTGATCAACCTAACTGGCTGAGAGGCCAAACTGAGACGGGTTTTAAGCCGCTTGACAAACCGTTACACCGCGCCCAGCTGCCAATCAGCTACTCTCCTTATCGGGAACATTTCCTTTATAAAGCTTAAATGGATGAGTTCACCCCCGCACAATGTGTAGGGCCTACGGATCGAGACATGAGCTAATCAGACCTTCTTCATTTTTGAACCAGGCTGTAAACATGTTAATCTCTGCTGTAAAAACAGACGTTTCGAATGCGTGTGTATGCGACAGAGGACATTTTGCACTATTTAGAATTTATTACTGTAAATATTATTTATCTTATTTTATCTTATTTTACCTTATTTTGGTTGTATTCCACCGTGGGACGGAGACAAACGCAATTTCGATTCCACTGTATGTCTGGCATATTTTGAAATTGACAATAAAGTTGACTTTGACTTTGATGTGGACACTTGATGAACTGCAGGATTTCGAATTTCTGTATCGGCTTCATTTTTGAACACAACAGGTGGCTGCTTGATTGTGCCGGGTACTGTGCCCTTGGTGCCAAATGTATCATATCTGGTCAAATCTGTATATCAGAGCAGTAGTACTTGGTATCCTGGTTGTGACAGGGATCTTTTTGCAAACTGCTATAGCCATCACAGACTTGTTAGATATTGATATTGTTGATAGGACAGCTGGGACAGTAAGATGTTCAAACCATGAAACAATGATGATCACTGAATAGTAAACTCTGTTTAAGGTGAACTGGCTGACCTTTTCTGAATTCCTTAGTTTACCCGGCAGGTAGAGTCTCTGCTGGTTTGTTGTAAATGTAGTCCAAAAGACTGGTCTAAGACAGTCTGGCTCACTTGCTCCACCTCCTGTCAGTTAGTCGTAAGTGGTTTAAATAGAGGGGGGTTAGGGAGGTTATTTTTGGGACCACCCAGAACCAATTCTTTTGTTTTGTTGAGATTCAACAAATCTTGGCTGTTGTCTGTATTCATTCATTCAAAGTGTTTAATTGAAGCTCTGAGAAATATCTATTTTTCTGGTCGGATCAAATGTTAGCTGTGTTCATGGTTCTGCTGAAAAGGATCAGTTTTGAGAGAAAGTGCTTTAGAATGCTGCATTTCTTTTTGTTAGAGATTTGATACGTTTGGATGAAATGGTAAACTCTTTTCAGATTTGTTGTGTTGGGGTAAAGTTTCAGAAAACATCTTTAAATAATTCATAACTTTCACGTGACTACACACGCTTATGGAACCACCTGGAGGGCAAGAAAGGAGATTTTAGACACGAGAGGGAACATCCTGGCATTAAATATTGTGTTGCAGTAACTTGATGAAAATGACTACATCATTTAAATGTCTTGTCTAGACAGACTGACATGTTCTATCCATGAAATCTTTCTAACCTCCTTACAGCACAACTTTTCAATGACTGACACCATGGCAGCAGCCACAGGAACAGCAGAATATGAAACACAAACAAAAATAATAATACTAACATATTGTAAAAGTCTACCACGATGGGGTGGTCTGCAGAGTTAATGATGGTGTTGTGGGAGGGTTTGCAGTCATCTGTATAGAGGGAGAACAGGAGAGGGCCCAGCACAGCGCCCTGCAGTGGTCAGTCAGGAAATCATGGATCCAGTTGCACAGGTCCATCGGACCCTGAGAAGTGACTACCCCCAGAGAGCTGCAGTTCCTGACAATACACCTGGATGTGTGCTCAAAGAGTCTGCAGACCAACTGGCTCATGTCCTCACAGATATATCTAACACCTCACTGAGGTAAACACAGAGGGTGATCTAAAACCCTGCTGTGGGTTCGGGCTGAGTTTATCTTCAGTGGCATAGTGAGGTCACTGTGGCTCTACCTCAAAATCAAACTACTATAAACTAGTTAAAGAACTGTGGTGTTCTTGATGAATTATGCTACCAAACAAATCATTTGTTTAGAGCTTGTCCGTTTTCTGCTGGTTTGTATTTGAAGTATAGTCTATTACAAAGACTTATATGAGGTCACTTCCTATAGAAGGCCACCGTTTCCACTGCTCTTTTCATGTCTTAGCCTACACATGTAGTGTCAGCTGACCATTCGATGCAATCATTTTCTGCCGTAGGCCTATACTCCTAAAGAACGCAACGTTTGAGTCAATGAATGTGTGTGGCAGCGTGAGGTGTGTGGGTGGAGGCGTGGTTACTCACCGGCAGCACGTTCATGATGGGGTGCTGAGTACATCACAAGCTCTACCCTCTGTAACAAAAAAGTGTTTCCTCCTTACATTACTTAATGACATCCTTCAGACATGATAGAACTTGGAAGGTTTTTTACATGTGTGTGTTCTGTTTGACAAACATCAAATACATTGGATGTAATCAGGTCAGAATTCTATAGAATATTTGAGTTTTATAACCTTTATCTATAGGAGTTTAGGACTGTAGTTAAATGTTCAACATACTGTTCATTCTCTGACACTGTTCACATTCCTAATCCAAATAAACATGAAGAAAATGTCTCTTGTATTAATTGACAGAGATCAAACTCATACATCCTTCTTTGTGTCTTTACATGTGACTGCAGATCAAAAGGTTTAAAGCTGTTGGAAAGACATCATACTCAGTTGAAGCAAAGTCGTGACTTACTGCACTTATTCTGGCTCTGCACATTTATGTGACGATAATTAGAATATTATGTAAAAGGACAGTGACCAATGAGACTTCAACTCTGCATTTATGCATTCTTAAAAGGTAGATGTGTGTGTAGCTATCAGTGTGTGGTCATAGTTAACAGTAGCTTTAGAGAGACAACTGTCATAAAAGGAGCCAAGAGACTAGTTCTGTGATCCCAGATTGGCTGCTGGTAACATCTGCCTCATGCTGTTTCAGCACAAAGAAGGCACCCTAGAGTAGAAGGATGAAAGAGTCAACAAGACAGTTCAAAATAAGACATTTATTGATCATTGTCTTTCATAATTACATTCATAGACAAATAGAAACAAATTGTTTGAAATTAATATTAAAGGTGAAAGTCAGTTAAACAATTATGAGTTTCCTTAATTTATGAATGTGATGGAGGTTCAAGAAGCATGGAGGGAAGAAAATAGGTTAAGAACTAATACAATGACACACAAAAAACAGAAATGATTTTTAAAACACTACAAGTGGTAGAAGGCTTTGTGACGAATAAAAACTTGAGCAGGTTGTCTGCACCAGCTTTTCATTTAAACAGTGCAGTGCATAGAAGAGAATCCAAAATAATAAAAGCGCATCCTTGAATGTCACAATTGCACTCAAACTATCTCAAGATAGACCATGTTCATGCTCCTCCCTTGAAGATATTTAAGCACCTCAGAAAAGAGTGAAATGCAGCAGTTTGGATGTCCTGAGGTAGCAAACAGAACAATAAACAAAGCAGCAAAAGATGACAGATAAACAAAAGCCAGGAAGATTTGACATCTTATTACAGGCTTGAATATATATTGAATATTTGATTCTCATTGGTCAATAACGGAAATCCAAGGTCGGCTATTTCTCTATAATTAACTTGTACAGTATCCAGCAGGTAAATGTGAGAAGGTGAGTTATTAGGCAAACGTCTACATTCTTAGCAATGTGTGAAAAATGCATCAAAGTTGAATGAATTTGAAATTAAAAAACCTTTAAGGCTAACAAATGTTATAACTCTAAATAGGAATTGTCCTGACAAGCGTTGATTTCTGTTTGGTTCTAGGCAGGTAATCCCTGTTTCAACAGTAGTGCCTATGCAACATCAAAGTGTGAATAATAACATGGTTTAGTGGTTCTTTACTTTGGGGATGCTAACATTTATTTTCATTTAACAAAAAAGTTGAAAAACAAGAACAATAAATTTGATAAAAAATATTCTAAACTGACAAGTGTTGACTTGATTATCAACTATCTGATCACGAGAGGTACACATAATTATGACTTAGACTTCAAATGGATATTGGGGTATGGTGTATTCTTCTCCCCATGGAGATTAAATATCTGTTGGAATATTTTTTTCATTATAAGTCACTTGTTACACTTGAAAGATTTATTAAAGAGGATCACATTCATAGATGAAACAAAACAAAATGTGTTTTTGTTTTCATTAAATTGATTTGATTTGAAACAGGACAGTTTGATCATCATGTGTCATCAGAATTCAGCTCTTTTTGCTGATGTATACTTGGAAATTGTTTTCTAAAGGCACACACACCAAAGCTCATGCTGTCACTGGCCCTTCGGCCTGAATATAGACATACAGGTTGGATATCTTGCCACTATTTTCTAAAAAAACAAAAACAACCAAAAAACAAAAACAAGAATATCCACATACACACCTAGCAAAAAAAACAAGCAAACCCCCCCCCCACCAACTTCATGCTTCTTCCTCCCTCATAGATAAACCTGTCATCCTTGGTAACAGCTAGTTCATAGATTTGAAGAACAGCACTTGGAACAATCGTGAACTGTTAAGGTTTCTCATAAGACATAAAAGGATAGTGTTTAAGATTATCTGTGGAAGCTTTTTAAAGGCCACCGAAGGTGCTATGGACTCCTGACAGATTCTGGATTCTGGATATTCTCACGTTGTGCTGAGCCATTAATATGAAAGGTACTCCAGTTCGATTCAGTGTGGCCTGGCTTTGTATGTAGTGTAGACAAAAGAAGGCTTTTCTAGAACCATATGGCCCAAAGTCCAGGCACTTAGAAACTGATGGGACTAAAACTTAGTCCAGGATAGAGGTAAAGGGCATTTTAAAGATGAAAGGGATCCTTTTGTTTGTGTGTTTTGGTGTGGGTCTATGGGGCAGAGCAGCTTTCACTCTCTTATGCTAGCAGAATAAGAGAACTGGGGGAAATGAGCTTGCTGGCCTGGGTCCTCGCAGTCCAACCTATTATCTGTAAGAACAAGACACCAGGATTTAGTCAAATACTGGCACAGTGCACAGTGACCTAAAAGTCTAGCAGTCAGAGGATACTTACACTTGTCTGGAGGAGTAAGAGTAATAGTCTGGGCTGTGAACTCCTCATCAAAGTAACGGGTGTCTGTCTCTGAGGTCACTTGTGGTCTAAAGACAGGGGTGAGCTGACATGGGAATAATGTTAATAAACTGGCTATACAACAGAATAAACAGGATTTATACATTTACTTTATGTAGGAAAAGGTCCATAATGCCATACTGTACATGGCTAGTTAGTACATAGTAGAAGAAGCTCCCGTTTGAAGAATTTATTGATAAGTGATGTTTAAAGCCAACTTTTCACACATAAATAAATTATCAAATTGGAGCTTCTTGGTGTGCATCCAAGAAGCATTCAAACATTATATTAAGAGCAAGAAATGAATTCTCATCATAGCATTAAATAAGTATCTACACTGGGTGCATAATTATTAGGCAACACAGTATTTTGACCTTCATTACTTCAGTGAACACTTTCTGACTTGAATGCCTATTGGATTAAATCATCTTTAGCTGATGTGTTTTTGTTGTTATGAGGAAGGTTGTGGTCTAAAGTGATTAAAACCTTGTATCAATGTGTGCAGAATTATTAGGCAGATTCATAATTTCAGGTAAAAGTGGCCAAATCATTTGTTTAAGTTCAAATGTTAAAATGCCTTTGATGGATGCAACACAAATATCTTAACTTTTGAAACGTGACCATCTGATAATCAAAACTTTTGTTGCAAATAGTCAACAGGGTTGCAAAAAAACACGTGGAGAACAAAAGGCACATATGAAATGCAATAGAATTAAGAATAATTAAGTGTAAAGCTACCAGGTACCCATTATCCTTCAGTTCCACCTTATATCAGAACCGTAACCTGTCCGCAGTGTCCATAAGTACAAGGTGTCAAGTCGTGCTCAGAGGCATGGCGAGGGTAAAGAAGGCTGAAAAACAACCACCACTGCATAAGATTCAGAAGTTAAGCATCAAAACTGGGCCTAGAAATATCTGAAGACAGATTTGTTAAAGCTTTTATGAAAAGATGAAATGAGAGGGGCTCTTGATAGACCAGATGGATGGGCCTGTGGCTGGATCACCAATGCACCACTTTGAGTACCCGAAAGCTGGAGGAGGGGTACTGGTATGGGCTGCTATCATCATTAATTAAGGATGAGCTAGTTGGACCTTTTTAAGTTAAAAACAGACTGGAAATAAAGTCCCAAACTTACTGCTGGTTCCTGGAAAATACTTTCTTCAAGCAACGTTACAGGAAGACCTGTACGCAGGACAAAGCTGCATCACACGCATCCAACTACTCCACTGCTTGGTTAGCCAGCAAAAGCCTCAAAATGATAGATTTACCAACTGGCCCCCATTTCCACCTGACTTTTATCCCCTTGAAGGACTTGAAGGCCCTTCTCAAACATCAGATTTAGAGTAAAGACAACACACCTCTTTGAAGAGCTTTTAGAAGGTTGTGTGCTTCAGTGAAGGTTGATGGTGAAAAGATCATGAAGCGGGCTGACTCCATGCAGAAGAAATGTGATTATAGGATATTGAGGATAAGGATATACTTATTTGTTGGCTTTACTCTGGAAAATGAGAATGAATGAGTAGGTTGGGAAATATTACTCATGTATTTTAGTTGCCTAATAATTCTGCACAGCCAAATATAAACTCACTTAAACTCAACAAAACTCACTTTTCCTTTGTTAAACATTCAGGTTCCAGGTTCAATAACACTTTGGATTGACTACCAGCATTTTGTTTTTTCAAAAATAAAATTTATCCTGAAGAATACCATTTGCCTAATAATTGGGCACGCAGTGTAGAGATCAACCAAGGTGTGTTGAACAACGTGTGTTGGTAGATTTATGTTTAGAATAGCAAATAGGGCTCCATAAAATGATGCAACTGCAATGTGCACATAAGCCAGTCACGTCACAGGACTTACATCTGGGCCCCATACATTTTTATCTAAAATACAAAAATAAACTCTTTTGTTATTCTGTCTCTTATTTCCAGCAGCACAGTTCACAACCCTTTCTGCATTTCTCAATAGGTATAGATGTTATTATGAGCTGCTGGAGACAAAAGATGCAGTTGGTATTTCAAAAAAGTCAGGCATGATAAAATGTGTGATAGTGACCAAACCCTGTTTCCCTTTTATTTGCCTCATGACGTCTTACCTTCCTCTGTACGACATCCTGCCAGTTGATGGTGATAAAGAATTTGTGATTCATTACTTCTTTGGCATCATTGGGACCTCCACCTAACCTGTCAGTCAGAACAAGAGCTCATGAGTGTTCAGATGAAGGACATTTCCAAAAGCAACAAATGAAAGATCAGTCCTCTCAGATACCTCTGCTTAGGGTCCTTCTTGAGGAGGCCAGCCAGTAGGGACTTGGCCTCGGGCATCAGGTTCCTGGGGAAGCGAATCTCCTCCATAAGGATGAGCTCAAACAATCGTTCATGATCCTGGTTGTAGAAAGGCAGACGGCCGCACATCATCTCATACATGACCACACCCAGACCCCACCAGTCCACAGACCGGCCGTAGTCATTATCTTCTAGGACCTGAGATACGGACATAGCCAAATGAAGATTTCTGAACAATGGAGGAGGAGTCTTGTTTATGAATAAATAGCCGTTTCATTTTGAAACAATTCTGAATTATTGTTCCCATTCCATGACTTTTAAGGAATTCTGTATTTGAACATTTCCTGGCAATTGCTTTTCTATTATTATTATTATTATTATTATTATTATTAATAATAATAATATATCTACCCAGTAAGAAGAAATTTGGGACATTCATGAAAAATATGAAAATCACCAGTACACATATTACCACACATTCCACATTCTCTAGCACGGACTATGTTCAGGTTTCTGCTTTGACTCCTCTATTTTCAGAGTCATAAAAAACCTTCAAATGATTTCCCAGATGGACTTCTTCAATCCATTTTAGCTTGACTTGGAACACTATCTTACATTGTCAAACCAGTAATGTACCGGCATCTTTGTCCCATCTTAATTTCAATTTGTAGAAACACCACATTCAAGTAGTAAAGACAAACAGATCCTGACAATTCTGGGAAGACCTCAGGAGGAATTGTAACAATGTCGTTGGGGAGAGGGATGTTTGGGTCAGCTTAGCTTCCTGCGGCTGTGACTCGGTTGAGTGGGTCGTCTTTTAAGCAGGTCAGGAGTTTACTCCCCAGATCCTGCAGCAACATGTCCAATGTGGCCTTGGGCAAGAGGTTTAACCCCAAGTTGCTCCCGCTGCTTGGTCAGTGGTGTATGAATGGGATTAGTTACTGCTGATGGTCACTTTACATAGAAACCTCAGCCATCAGTATAATCAGGACCTGCAGTGTAAAAGTGCATTGAGTAGTCAGAAGGAAAGTGCTATACAAGCTCAAGCCCATTTACCATTCCTGCGGCGGTGTCCCGGCCCAAGACAAGTGGAAGACAATGGACAAATGGATGGAATCAAGCAAAGCACTAAATTAGGTCAAAAACACACTTTGGGGTTCATGGGAGGGAAAAAATCTGCTTGTGCCTTACCTCAGGTGCCAGATACTCAGGAGTTCCACAGAATGTTTTCATGGTGGCATCAGGGGTAATCCCCTCTTTACAAAGACCAAAATCTGTGATTTTGATATGGCCATCCTTGTCCAGCATCAAATTCTCAAGCTGAAAGACAATAAAATAACATACACATTAAATGTAAGACTAATTATCATGGATCAATAGATGAGTTCAGGATTGATAAGGTTTTTAACAAATGTACATAATGGATCCTTTGATCATGAGATGAAGACTTAATAGTCAGGTGTTCCTTAACCATGTGCAGAGATTTACTTTTTGCTGTACACACTAAAGTACTGTACACTGGCCTACACCTATTATCAGTCAAATTGCAACTTTTTCTGCTGGATTTGCTCCCTGAAAAAATGAGTATGAAAATTCAACAAGATTCAAGATTCCTTTATTGTCATTTTAATGTTATACCAGAGAGGTACAACATCTGGCTGCAGACACTTTATAAAAATAAAAATAAAATAAATAAAAATCAGAATCGGAATCTGTTTTTATTGCAAAGTACATTTACACATACAAGGAATTTGTATTTGCGTTAACACATTCACATTACTTTGATGTTTTATTGACTGTGGGGCTGATGAGAGTCTGGGTTATGTGGGAGGAGGGGGGCAGGGACATTGTTCATCAGGCTGACAGCAGAGGGGAAGACTCTGTTCTTGTGGCTGCGCTGCAGCCTGCACTTGTCCTTTGCTGTGGCTGCAGCGTACCAGACTGTGATGGAGGAGGAGAGGATGGACTCGATGATGGCAGTGTAGAAGTGAACTTCTTCAGCTGCAGCAGGAAGTACATCCTCTGCTGTCCTTTCTTGATGAGGGAGGTGATGTTCAGCTCCCACTTGCGGTCCTGGGTGATGATGGTCCCCAGGAAGCGGAAAGACTCCACAGTAGACACCGTGGATTCATCGATGGTGATGGGGCAGCCTCAGTTTTCCTAAAGTCCACAACCATCTCCATTGTCTTCAGAGCGTTAAGCTCTAGATTGTTTTCGCCGCAGCAGGTCACCAGATGGTCAGCCTCCCACCTGTAGGCAGACTCATCCCCACCAGAGATGAGTCCAATGAGGGTGGTGTCGTCTCTTGACAGACTAATGACTGGTGGTACAGCTGTTGGTGTACAGGGAGAAGAGGAGAAAGAACGCAGCCTTGAGGGGAGCCAGTGCTGATCAGACAGGAAGTCTGTGATCCACCTGCAGGTGGACTCAGGCACGTTCAGCTGGGAGAGCTTGTTCTTGTTTTGCATTTCTTCACTTATTCTTGGTAGAAAAACGCCACAACACCACATTGTATATCCATTGGTAAGACATGAATCTCAGTAAAAAGTAATCACTGAACTGTGTTTCACTATTAGCAATAATTATTATTTTTGCACTTCATAGAAGTTTTTGGATTGATAGTTATACAATATGATCTGGACTTAGGGCTGTCATTTTTTATTTGACATAGGAACATTCATTCAAACATGTAGGAGACAGTTCACATTTGAACTCTAATGAGCCGTTCAAATTCAAAATGTAGTCCATCAGCGCACAAGGCTGTCTGAAGTAGTCTGCAGTTTGATCTAGCAGAGGTCACTCTCAGGGTAACTTGACAATTGCCTGCACTCTTCACCTAAGTTAATGAAGACAGTAATGTTTGGGCCACAGCATCTGGCCTAATTCAGGAGATTGAAATGAGGGCGACTCCTCCCACTGCTTTGGTAGATAGACAAAGGGTTGATACATACCCACAATGCTCCAAGCTGACATATTGTAAATATTTGTGTGTACTAGGAACATCTGTACAATCTCAACAGGTGTACTTCTATTACCACTTGTGTTTCTTTTCTATATAGAATTCCTACACCTTTTCTATATTCACATATAGTAAAGCAATTGTGCGATTTAAAGGATTTCTCACTTTACAGTTGGGCAACAATAATTATTTACACATACATTCAGAATACTTACTTGACATCTCTTTCTACCATATGGTACTAAGACCAATCTAAACCAAACTATTATGAAGCTATTATGAGGGTGTGTTGAAGCCTTTTTCATTGCAGCTTTAATGATGTAGAATAATGGTCTCTTCATATATTTGTGTGGTTGGACCTCTTGTCATCAATGGGGGAAGGAATAATACAATTTCTGTACTCAAGTAAAAATACAGAACATTACTCAAATATTACTCAATTATCAATGATAGTACTTAGTGATGATATTAGAAAAAAAAGAAAATAGTACTCCTTTTAAATGCTACTTAGAGTAATGTTAGTTTTCTTTTTGTAACATAACAATGAGTAAGCTCTTTTACCTGCTCTTTGTAAAGTGTCTCGAGATAACACTTGTTATGAGTTGACGCTATACAAATAAAAATTGATTGATTGATTGATTGATAGATAGGTAGATAGATAGATAGATAGATAGATAGAAAATTCTCAATAAAAAATAACAATAATTGGTGTTTTCTTTCTAAGGAATCCAACAGACATTTATTTATTTTTTCAAAGTTCAAGATGGAGATGGATTATATGCCAATATAACTTAAAAGTAAATGAAGGTAGGGTCTATGAGGGAGGTTCCCCCCCAAAAGTAAAATGTAGCCAATTTAACATTCAAATGAAGCATTATGAGATTAGATCATGAGAAATGGGGACCTTGTTTTGATACTAAATAGGACAGTGGAATAACCTTTAGTAGCCTAAAGTAACAACACAGGAGTAACAAAGGAAAAATAGTTACTTTTAAAGAATATTAGTTCTATCATTATTTATTTTTGATGCATTAATGTGTCCCTCGTTTTGCTGTCACTGCTACATCTGGAGCTAATCATACTTGAGTAATAGAAATTGTTTTAATTGATTTATTTAAATACATGTAGCTGGATACCTTGTGAATTCTCAGGGCATATAATAAAGATATTTTGACAAATAGTGTATCCATCCTATTTTGCATTATAAATCTGAATCTGAGAAGTAACTAGCATACAAACTTAAGATTTTCTATTTTCTCTTCATACAACATGTCAGCATGAACCTTTAACCACACACAGCCATAAACTAATAGTAGAGGCTGCTATCAAAATGCCAATCTGTTTGTGTGTAATCAACACACCAATTAATCTTACTTTTGTGAGCTAGTCGAGGTAATTGTATTTTCAATAGTTCATAAGTGTTGAAACATCATGCATTATAATGCTTCACATTGTGAGACCAGACATCACTTTAGTTTAAGATTACTTGAATAATGCTCGTATTGCACACTCCAGAAAAGTCAAATAAAAACTGATATGATACTACACACACATATATATATATATATATATTATATATATATATATAAAAAAGGCCTGACAGTACCAAGAACAGTTCATGACATTTGCTGATGCTTTGATGTAAACTGTAGCATTCTTATTATTTGATGACTTACTGACACAACGAGTAATTACCTTCAGATCACGATAAACAACGTCACGTGAATGGAGATACTCGAGCGCTGACACAATCTCAGCACCGTAGAAGCGTGCCCGGTCTTCTGTGAACACTCGTTCACGTGACAAGTGGAAGAAGAGCTTGAAAAGACGAGAGCAGAGTAAACACTTGGTGACTGGATCTGTTTTGGAGTTGTGTGTATATTTCAGGTCTCACCTCACCACCGTTGGCGTATTCCATTACAAAACAGAGTCGATCGTGAGTCTGGAAGGCATACTTCAGAGTCTGAGGAAATCAAATGGTCAAATAGAAGAAAAATAAATACAACAAAATACAATGAAGCCCTGAATGAAAAATAAAAAGGTGAGATCCGATGAATCAGGAGGGGAAAATTATCATCAATGTCCTTTTAATGAGCCTCAGATGTCTTCAAAATGATACTGATGGTTTTGTTTTCAGCTAAAAAAAGCTAAATAAAACCATGTACAATGACAGTGGTTAAGGTTAAGGAGTACTTTGAACTGAATACTGTTTGCTAGCACAATAAATCTACTAAAGAAAATAGTTGGGCTAGATGTCATGACTCACATAATCAGTCAAAGAGGCAAACATAGAAAACAGAAAGCAGGCAATGAACAAACATAGTTTAGTGCCAGGATTGATGATTCAAAAAGAGTGTTTGCCATCTGTTGATCTACTGTGAATTGCTATTTTGTCTCACACATACAGTTTGATGCATCCAGAGTCTGTGTCTTAAGCAGTGTTGTAGTACTCGAGTCCAGGAGTCAACTCCAGCCCTGATTTTCAGGACTTGTGAACAGATGACAAGGACTGAAATGTGTTTTCTACACATCCAAAAGGTCCCATACAGTTTGTGGAGGTTCATACAATGAAATAGTTTAGAGTGAAATAGCACTCCTCCTTAAAGATCCTGAGCGCCATCAGAGCTGGGTTCAACATTTTACTTTAGATGATAACTTTGAATCAGTCCTCTCTGGAGAGTTTCCTCTGTCCTGTCTAATTATAAAATGTTCAAACAGTTTTTTGCTGTGCTGCTTAAATGTAGTGACATTACTGCACACATGGAACCATTTACAGGTTCTGTAAACAGCTTCTGTGATCATTTAAATTAATACATTATGAATAATAATTATAATAATATCACACCCTCTCAGACTGAGATGGTAAACTCAGATTAGAAGCAGAAACACATTTATGTTCTAAAGAGAACTGAAACTTGGCTCATCTTAAGGACATGTACTTTGACTCCAATAAGATTCAGACTGAGGTAATGGGGACTCATTTGGGGATTGATTTTGGTTTACTCTGACACGACTCGGACACTAGGAACTGGAGACTCGACTCAGTCTTGAAGTTTGGTGACTCGACTACAACACTGGTGTCACCTGCCTGTAATATGTAGACACACATAAAACACTACTGCAGTAACTGTGGCATAATGCCCACTAGAACATGCCCACTTACAGGGATTGGAGGCCCAGTTTGTAATATTTATTGTTAATTATCCTTAATTATGAATTCATTGTTTAAAAATAAATAAATAAATAAATAAATACACTTTTGAAAACAGGAGTATTGTTGTGTTGCATGGATCCCCCGAAGGCTCAGTTGGGAAAAAGCTGCTCTCTTTTTCATTCATTTTTAAAGATTTATTTGTCTGTCAGTCCGACTCTCTCTTTCTCTCTCTCTCAGGCAAGTGCGATAGTCAATCAAACTGTCCTGACCCCTCTTAAAACAATAACAATCACCCAAAAAAAACATATAATACTCACTGTATGAACATGTGTCACAGAAAATTAATCACAATCTGGATTTGTTTACATTTTCATATTGTTTGCCATTCTTTCAATTGCATAAACAAAACTAAATAATGTCATACGAAATGATATCTCAGCTTAACATATAGGCTACTTGTATAGGCTAAAAAAACTTTGCAAGGCTGGAATAGTGCAGAAACAGCAGCTGCCCTGGCAACTGGAACTAGCGTTGTAGTTTCACCCCGCTAACTGCAACAGCTTCCACTTGAAGCTCCTTTTCAGACTTAGAAATACAAAGATTTCCCATCTCAGGGGAAAATGAGGGCGGGATTCACGACCATTCAAAAATACTACCAGGTTTCTAATGATACAAAGCTTCATGCAAATGGACGAAGTATCCCTTTAAAGCCCGAAATAATAAAATATTTGAGTGTATAATTCAAATGTTGGTTGTATATACGCATGTACATTAAAACACTGCAATAATCTGATATAACTTTTTAAATTTGTTTCATATCACAGAGACAAAGATCATTACAATGTCAGTGTGGAATGATCAATGGAAACTGAAACAGCATATTATTTATCAGCAACACTCCTGCACTGAAATACTAATAAGTGATTGATTTTTCTAAAAAAAAAAAAAAAAGAGTAATAAAACATTCTCACCGTGAGAAAGGGATGTCGTGTGTTTTGTAACACTCTGCTCTCTGTGACTGTGTGGGCCACCTCCTCCTGCAAGGATACAACAAAAACAAGTAACGTAAAAAAGAAATGCTTCGCTAACAACGGTGAGAATATTGATTGGTTGGTTGATGGGTTTATTTCAAACATGTTCATAAAACAGTAGATAACAAATAAATGACAAAAGCAATAAAATGTGAAAATTAAACCAAAAAATATCAGCTATCACATTCAACATAACAAACAGTACAAGTTGAAAAAAAGAGTAGGATCCAGTTTACTTTGTACATTGACTTATTTATTCCTACCTCCTCTTTTTTTAATATAACACAAATATCCCACAGTTCATTATTGAGAAAATAAATATGTAAATTAATAAGAAATACATCCTTTCACAACCTTCTTCATCTCTATACCTATTGTTAAACGTATTACGGGGCAACAGAATCAGGTTTGTGTTGTGTTTGACCTCCATCTTTAATGGATTTCTTAATATAAATTGTGCTGTGTATAATATGATGATATTTTCTCAAAGTCTGTGTACGTTCTCAGTCATTCAGGTCATTGTAAACCAAGCCTGATCAAAAGACAACTGTACTTAGTTTAGAAGCCTTCAGCTTCAACTAACTGGGGAACAAAGCTAGAAATATTAGCCTCTGTGGATCATTAGCATTCTAATAACTTTTGCTGCTTTGCTAAAGTGCTCATGATGGATAGGCTGGGTCTTTGTAACATAACAATGAGTAAGGTCTTTTACCTGCTTTTTGTATCATAACAATGAGTAAGGTCTTTTACCTGCTTTCTGTATCATAACAATGAGTAAGGTCTTTTACCTGCTTTCTGTATCATAACAATGAGTAAGGTCTTTTACCCAATTTTGTAAAGTGTCTTGAGATAACACTTGTTATGAGTCGACGCTAAAATTGATTGATGAATGATCAAGCATGGTCACACACAAAAGGCATATTCCTCTCAACTTTTTAAAATCTGTGTTAGTGAGCACTTCTCCTTTGCCAAGATAATCCATCAACCTGACAGGTGTAGTATATAAAGATGCTGATTAGACAGCATACTTACTGTACAGGTGTGCCTTAGGCATGTTACAATAACAATTGTCTATTTGGCAGCATATGCTTTTCCAAAACCTGTATATATGGTTCAGCATTGATGGAGACTTAACATAAGTGCAGGTTACTCATGCAATGTGCACTTATCAACCCATGGATTGCTTGTCTTTTGAACTGTGCATTGAAAACTCTCTAGCCAAGATAAGAGTGTCCACGATTACTTAACAAAAAGTCAAATTGTAACTCGTCAGACCTCAGTTTTCCACTTTGCCTCAATCCATTTAAATGAGCTTGGACCAAGAGAAGGGGGCAGCATTTCAGGTTCTGGTTCCGTTTCCCTCACAAAGTAGAGTTTAAGCTCACATCTGTGAATTCAGTGATGCACTTTGTTGAAAGACAATGGAAGTGATGTGCCAACACAGAATCTGTTCTTCAGTCTGAGTGTCTGAAAAAGCATGCCCACCTTATATTGTTTTTTTCACCTTGTCCACTGCATACAGAGATTTCTTCAGATTGTTATGATCTTCTGAATATTTTATTGATGTTATGTACTGTAGGCAATTCAATCTTTGATGTTTAATGTTATAAAATAGTATTATTACAGTGTTTGACTATTTACCAACACAGTCTTTCACAGACTGGTGATCCTATCCTTATCTTTCCTTCAGGAGGACTCAGCCTCTCTGGGATGCTCTTTTTATACCCCATCACGTTTTGAACCCTTTGCCAGTTAACTTCATTAGTTGTGGGTGGTCCCATCAGGTGTCTTTTAAGCATTTCACAACTTTTTCAGCCATTTTTTTTTTTAAATATGTTGTCACCATACATTTTTTTTGATTTTCAATAGATTTGAAAAAAACAAAATCCCCACATTCTGTTAATATTTAAATTTTACACAGCATCCCAACTTTATCGGAAATGGAGTTGTATTAAGACATTTCAATAAAGAACTCTCATATGGAGCCATTGTAAAAAAAATATTTGCCGATATGTAAACAGATCCTCAAGTGTAACTGATGACTCCATTGCATTTTCAGATCTTAGAGCAAAAACACTTGAACTTTTCAGGCTTCAGTTTATGTCAATTTACAAATGACTCTTCATATTATCAGACTTTGTATGTATTTGTGAATCTGCATATGTTTTTTTGGAGCTGTGTACAGATCTGTGTTGCACTTTTAGATCTATTTAGCCATCTGTTTTAACCATTTGCAAATAGCTTTGCAACAGTAAAAGCTCAATACACTCCACTTAAAAACCCCATCTGATACGATTTCACTAACAGGATGACCCAGATGAACGCCACGAGCCGAAACGCGTCGGTCTAATTTGTTAATAAAGTTCATCTTCATACTACAAGTGTTGCTGGAACATTTTGATGATTTCAATCACAAAAATTTAGTAACTTGGCCTTTATAATAATCTAAATATAAATCGATGAGAAGGATATACCAAGTTAGAATTTTGACTGATGATTTAACTGCCAATCTGTAGAAAAAAATAGCAGCAACACCCATTAAGTCAGTACTTTTCTGCTCGAAATATGAAGAACACAAAGGCATACATGCCAACATCCCATTGCAAAGCACCAAAAGTGAACACTACAAAGATCAGAAAAACAGAAAGAAAAAGATTTTAAACCTGGAACTGGTTTATTAGATTTTCTATACGTCTAATTACCAAGTGCATTTGTTTTTGAGGTGAGGAGTCCCTACAGTTTATATTGATTCAGCTCCTGTTAAAACCAGCTGAGCTCTAAGAAAAGCACTTAGCTAATGTTAGCAGCCTCCTTCTCACTCACACTAACTCCATTTAGACGGCCGTTTCAAATCGTGATATCTATGCCCCTGTGACATTTCACCTTCAATGTGACTGTTGCAGAGGTATAATGTGGGGACAAAGTGACCCCCACTCTGTACTGTCTTGGTCTTTGGAGGTTGTAAGAGAGGAGGCCAGACTGGATCAACTGAGCCAGGGCAGTAGTGACTTCTGTGTGTGTGTGTGCATGTCTGAGTGTGTGTATGTGAAGCTTCAGCAGAAATACAATGATACAATGATTCACAGACTGGGACACAAATATAACGCAGTTGCAGAATCAACATAATATATATTAAATGAACCAAGACGTAATTAAGGCTGAGCTTGAAAAAAGCAGTCTGAAAAGGGGGGTACTGAATGAAATGATGGTATGGTAGGGTTAATGAATGAAACTGAAACAAACACACCTTTTACTTACCTTTGCTATTATGACTTCTTTGCGCAGTATTTTCATGGCATAATGTACTCCAGTGGACTTCTCTTTGACCAGAATCACTTTCCCAAATGTCCCTTTGCCAAGCAACTTCAGGTACTCAAAGTCACTCATTGTCTGTAATGAACACAAGGCAGAGGTGTGAGAGAGCATGAGGGCTGAGGATTTGAAATGATTTAAAATGTCTGTATAGAAAGAGAAACTAATTTGGAGTGTGATGAGATTTTCTTTCGACTGCAATTGTCCCATATAATGTAGCCTTCAGGGACACAATGGCCGTGGAGCAGCTTAAAACTGTAAATTTGCATAATATCCTACTATACATCAATTCTGTTCTCAAAAGCTCCCAGTAGTGAATTAAGTGATTAAATAGTCATTGATTTCTTGCAGAGAGTAAAGTTCATGAGTTGAGCGATTCAATGAATCCACCAGTTCTTCAAATAAAGTGAATGTAACAGAAATGTCATGTTGTAGAAGATAACGGTGTGTTGACAATGATAAATGTTTGTTGGATGTAAATGAAGGGGGATTATCTTATATCCCCCCTATAAGGGACAGGTGTCTTTACTGTACAGGTCATTGAAGCAGAATGTAACAGTGGAGGAATGCTCAAGGCTACTTGAGAGACTGGCAGACAGACCAACAACAGAGAGAGAGAGAGAGAGAGAGAGAGGGGGAGAGAGAGAAAGATGTCAATAAAGCATTATATACTGAAATGGAATTCAGTGAGAGAATTTCATAAATAGACAGAATGAAAGAAAGAAAAGCACTGTTCTTCCTGCTATAAATGTTCATTCAAGTGAAATAAAAATTATGTATTCACGTGAAATAAAACCATTTGAGCCTCTTCACAACACACTTCATTCTTCTGTTTAGTAGTTTAGTAGGCAAATTAGCATTTCTACACGTGAGTCGTGAGCGCATAAAATACTCTACTCAACATCATATATTTAGGACCTAGTCGTTTTTTTTTTTTTTATTTGAAAGATGAGTACATCTAAGTGATCAGGGCTGAGTCCTGTGAACAGTCTATTCACAATAAGTCAAGCTGCAGAAAACACTCTCTGATGACAGCTTAATTTTCTCCGTACGGCTTCTTTTGAGGAGATCGTCGGCCGTTGGTCCTAGTTGGAATGTCGGTGAGCGGGCATCGCCCTCGTTCTTGCGGTGTGTCCTGCTCTGTCGCTAAACGTCGGCCCCCGTCTGCCGTTTTTTGGCTGATTCGACATGTTGAATCAGTGGTCGGTGAGAGGAATGTCTCTGATTGGCTGTTGGGAGGTTTCATTTCTCTCCAGCTCTTGACACAGGTTCAGGAAAGCCCCTTGAGCATGCCGCTGTAGTATCCATGCTTTCACTCATTAGTGCAGTTTCTCTTTCTTTTTAGCCTCTGCCTCTTCTGTTCTGTGGTGACCGACAGCGGTGTGAAAATGTTCTTCTCGTATCATAACGACGGGTGTTGGTTGGCCGTCAGCTGTAGTCTTTGACACCAGAAGCGCATTTAATTCACCAAAGAAAAGAAAATTAGAAACATTATCTCGTGAGATCTCAATGACGAGATGAGATGTCATAATTAATTACCACATGATAATGAGATCAGCACCTCCTACTCAGACGCCCCACCCAGCTTCTCTGTTAAACTCCTCTCCATAAAGTTTATTTAAGAAACAATGTATCGCCGTGTTCTACAAATGTATTTATTAGACAAAATGAGAGAAAGGCTCTTTGAAAGTGGCGCCTGTTCTGCGTCTGCTGGAGCGTCCGGTGTTACGGTGACATGAGCTTCAGAGGGAGTTGGGGACGGTACAGTTACATAACATAACTCATGTTAGAAAAGATCGTAGATGCAGACTGATGCCGTTCAAACTGCTTCAACATGCATTCAGTGCGCTCGTCACCTTCACTGTTCTGTATATTAAAAACTAGAAACTTTAACAACAACCAGAAGCACGCTAAGAAACACATCTAAGTGGAGAGTTTATATTTGTCTCAGTGCTGCACACACATAGCCTAACCGCACACCCACACACAATACAGCACTGTCCATCCTTCTGAAACATCAGCTGATGTTTATCTCATAGTTACAAGAGCTTATTTCATATCTGGAGAGATCCTGATCTCATAATTATGAGATCTTTATGTGTCTAATTTATTGAATTTCTTTGGTGAATTCAATGCGCTTCCGTACTTTGCTGTTTGTTCTAGTGGTGACGTGAGGCGACATGAGGCGCACAGGCAGCCTTCATCGTACCTAGTACTTTGCAGTCTGCTTGTTGTGTCAGGGCCTTTAGTAGTGGAGTAATAACAGTCGTTTCTAAGTAGCAAAAGGTGACGCCCTCTTTTGGTTTAAAATGTTTAAAAGGACATGTGACTGTCGGTAAATAGGGTTAATTCATCGATTTACCATTCATCTTTAACATGGCTACTTGCCATATAAATGCTTCTGCACCTGTATAAGAGGTCTGCCCTGCAATGGACAGGACGAACTTTCATTTTGATCCGAGTGTTTTATACTTTTTCCTGTATGGGTCTAATTTTCTATTGTTTAGTCTCTGTTGGGGTTTCGTTTTAATTTCTGTGATAGTAAATAGTCTCTATACAGTGGGTACGGAAAGTATTCAGACCCCTTTACATTTTTCACTCATTGTTTCATTGCAGCCATTTGCTAAAATCAAAAAAGTTCATTTTATTTCTCATTAATGTACACTCAGCACCCCATCTTGACAGAACAAAAACAGAAATGTAGAAATTTTTGCAAATTTATTAAAAAAGAAAAACTGAAATATCACATGGTCATAAGTATTCAGACCCTTTGCTGTGACACTCATATTTAACTCACATGCTGTCCATTTCTTCTGATCCTCCTTGAGATGGTTCTGCTCCTTCATTGGAGTCCAGCTGTGTTTAATTAAACTGATTGGACTTGATTAGGAAAGGCACACACCTGTCTATATAAGACCTTACAGCTCACAGTGCATGTCAGAGCAAATGAGAATCATGAGGTCGAAGGAACTGCCCAAGGAGCTCAGAGACAGAATTGTGGCAAGGCACAGATCTGACCAAGGTTACAAAAGAATTTCTGCAGCACTCAAGGTTCCTAAGAGCACAGTGGCCTCCATAATCCTTAAATGGAAGAAGTTTGGGACGACCAGAGCTCTTCCTAGACCTGGCCGTCCAGCCAAACTGAGCAATCGTGGGAGAAGAGCCATGGTGAGAGAGGTAAAGAAGAACCCAAAGATCACTGTGGCTGAGCTCACAGCGATGCAGTAGGGAGATGGGAGAAAGTTCCACAAAGTCAACTATCACTGCAGCCCTCCACCAGTCGGGGCTTTATGGCAGAGTGGCCCGACGGAAGCCTCTCCTCAGTGCAAGACATATGAAAGCCTGTATAGAGTTTGCCAAAAAACACAAGAAGGACTCCCAGATTATGAGAAAGAAGATTCTCTGGTCTGATGAGACCAAGATTGAACTTTTTGGCTTTAATTCTAAGCGGTATGTGTGGAGAAAACCAGGCACTGCTCATCACCTGCCCAATACAATCCCAACAGTGAAACATGGTGGTGGCAGCATCATGCTATGGGGGTGTTTTTCAGCTGCAGGGACAGGACGACTGGTTGCAATGGAAGGAAAGATGAATGCGGCCAAGTACAGAGATATCCTGGAAGAAAACCTCTTCCAGAGTGCTCAGGACCTCAGACTGGGCCGAAGGTTCACCTTCCAACAAGACAATGACCCTAAGCACACAGCTAAAATAACAAAGGAGTGGCTTCAGAACAACTCTGTGACCATTCTTGACTGGCCCAGCCAGAGCCCTGACCTAAATCCAATTGAGCATCTCTGGAGAGACCTGAAAATGGCTGTCCACCAACATTCATCATCCAACCTGACAGAACTGGAGAGGATCTGCAAGGAAGAATGGCAGAGGATCCCCAAATCCAGGTGTGAAAAACTTGTTGCATCATTCCCAAGAAGACTCATGGCTGTACTAGCTCAAAAGGGTGCTTCTACTCAATACTGAGCAAAGGGTCTGAATACTTATGACCATGTGATATTTCAGTTTTTCTTTTTTTAATAAATTTGCAAAAATTTCTACATTTCTGTCAAGATGGGGTGCTGAGTGTACATTAATTCGAAATAAAATGAACTTTTTTGATTTTAGCAAATGGCTGCAATGAAACAGTGAAAAATGTAAAGGGGTCTGAATACTTTCCGTACTCACTGTACATACAGGGGGATGGGGGCAGCAGGTGTTGTTAGATCTTACAAGTGGCTACAGGATGCTTCAATTTCCCTCTGGATGAATTAAGTATTTAAATAATTAAATTAAGTATCTATCTATCTATCTATCTATCTATCTATCTATCTAGCCTGAATAGAAATGTATTAATAAATTAGCAATGAAAAGTAAGGTTATTTGTGCAGCACATTTCATACAGAGGCAATTCAAAGTCAGTTATTTTATACAGTAAATCTAAATAAAATGAAGCATTGAAAAATGTAATTTTTCCTCCACAGTGCCCTCAATAATCTAAAGGAAACTATATAACATTACCAAAATGTTATCTTATGAATTCATGCAGTTTTGTCAGCCTAAGCTTGAGCTCACTATTGTCCATGTGGCCAACATTTGATCCACTTACCACTTTGGAGCAACTCTTAGACATAGCCATCTCCATCTCCTCCAAGCTGCTCTCACTTGGTGAGCCGAACACATCCATTGGTTCCTCCTCCTCCTGTTCCCTCATCTTCAGACTATTTGCAACTGACTGAATTGCTCGCATCCACTCCTCTCTGAGAAACAAAAATCCAAAGTATTATCAGGCCTTCAAACAACATAAAAGAGTCTGTTAAACGAAGAGCCTACAGATTCTATTTGGGGGATCATTTAAAATTATTTGGCCATGTTTGTCACAAGCCTAGTGGAAAAGTGGCCGCTTGCTTATAACAATGGTTTACATTGTTCTTACCTTTCTTCATTGCTGTCCACATGGAAGGTACGTTCAATGACAGTGGTCCACTGCAGGCAACGGATGACAAATGTGTTGGGACGGGGTCTTTCAGTCTTCATTAACTGACATTCTGTAAAAAACAGTAAGTAAACACAATGATCCAAAGACAGTGAGTATGGTTTTGGATTTAAGAAAAACCCAGTGAACTTTTTATGACAATTATCCACAAAGTGTGCCGCTTTAGTCACTGCAGTGTATCTTTCTGGGCTTCTGGAGGAACATTTATAGAGCCTCTTGATACGGCGCTACTCGCAGGAGAGCCGGTGTTGCCATCTTCACCACCCTAGTAGCGTTTAAAAACACATATTTTTGTCTTCTTTTCAGGTGGTTGACTCGACATATTTTCAGAATCACGCTCTCTGTCCGCTGGTGTGAGTAAGCTCACCTGTGTGTGCGCACACGCATGTGTCTGTGTGTGTGTGCGTAATGACATAGAGAGCGGAGCAGAATTGTAAACGTGCGACCATGTAGAGACAGAAATGACATGCTGTCGTGTAAATAAGATAAATAACATAAGACTGCTTAGTTTGTTTAATAAGAGGACGAGGTATAGACCTGTTCTATAGGAAAGGTATTCTTATGACTTCTTTTGGGATCTGGCGCTATATAGAAAATTACATTTAATCAAATTAACCTCTATGGGGGGGCAGGGCGCCCCCTAATATACTGGTAGGGATAATACTGCATTCATACATATGGAAGAGGATAAAAGCCACTGAAAAAAATGTTTCTGGTTCTGACTTTAATCTCAGGATTCTGAGATCCTCTTCCGTATATGCATGCCGCTGCGTAGTGGGAGCAATTTGGGGTTAAGTGCCTTCGATATGTGTCTGCAGGAGCTGGGGATCGAACCCCCGACCTTCCAGATAAGAGACAACCAACTCTACAACTGAGTCACAACCCTTTTATGCCAGTTCTGAGAATTGTTTTTGCACCAGAACGCCAATACCAATTTCCATGTATGTGTAAACCTACCTGGTTGAAAGTTCTGTTTTTACAATCTGCAGGACTTACCTGCAACTGAGAAGTTGTTGAGAGGTGGGGAGGTCTGGTCACTGAGATCAGGCTTTTCCTTGTAACCAATGAAGGAACCATCACTCTTTAGAATGAAATACCTTGGCCTCCATGTTTTGATATATTCACCTGGGTCAGAAAGATTCAGTTTGCACACTCAGTCAATCAGAACATCACTGTCAGCTGGAGTTAGTAGTTGATGGTGTTGCTCAGTCCAACAGATATAATAACACAACATTTCTTTCATAGTTCATTAAACATGTAGATACAGTGATTCATGGTCCTTACCTCTTTTATGAAGCCAGCCCTCTCTGACAATATTAACTTCATTCATGGCCAGAGATGTCTTACAGAGAGGGGAAAAGCGGATTTCACAGACCCAATCAAGTCTCAGTCCCAGTCAACAAATTTAGACAGCACCTGCTGAAATAATCAGTGGAAAGAGAAATGACCATAATGTAATGGAGTAGTGTAGACCCACTGTACAGTAACTACAGTGTACATAAATATAGAAAACCTTTCATTTTGGTTTTAAGTTCAACACTTATTTAAAAACAAAACATCAAACAAAAATCAACTGAATCATTTAATGTAAAAACCAAGACACATTGTTGACCCAACTGGTCTGATTCCAACAAGTTGTCTAAAGAAGAACATAACTGTATAATCATTTGTATTTCATCATCACCTCAATTGAAAATGTCCGATAGTTGATCTGAGTTTGTCATAATTAAGACACAGGGTTAGATGTTTCTAAAATATTTAAACTGCAACATACTTTTACCTAATCTATTATTCACTTTTATTTTGTAAACATTTCTTATCAATGAGTCTACAACTCAGAAGTAAGCCTAAATACATTGTCAAAAACTATGATTTAAATTTGCAATCACTACGATTATGTCAAAATTATCTTCTTAAATTGTCAAGCAGTGCAAGTAGCCTACTGAATTCATTTATTTTAAAACCAAATGGAAGCACAATATTTTCACATTTCGGTGGGTGTCTGAGAGCATTTACTATTGCTAACTAGAACATTAAAAACTAATCATTACAAAAAACCTGTGGTTTTATTTTCTGTGCTCCAATATTGAATTACATTTACAATCTAGTTAGCTATGATGAGTTTGATTAGTGTAGACACTAAACTAATCCTAAAGTCTTCAAGCTAGTGTGGTTATGAATGTGCATAACTCACTGGTGTTTTTTACATTAGGTAAATAAATGTAATAACATAAGAATGCTGTGCATTCAGAAGGCTAATACATTGCTTTTCAAAGAACCGTTTTTGGAATATAAGTTTCATATGATATATAGCCGATAAACATGAAAACATTTTAAAAACATTTTAATATTTTCTGAATGTCAATTGGTAATCAACGTTAGCTTAATGTAATCTATTTTGCGATAAAAGTAACATGGCTTTGTATGTTAAAAGCCCAATAACACAGTTTAAGAGAGTGAATAACAAGCAAAAACAAAGTGGTGTCTTTCGGTGATTTGGTCACTTTATGCTAGCCTGATGTTTGTGTTCTGAAAGCTCCTATAACATAATGTTTGTGCATTTAGCGATTAGAAGTTGACTTTCTTACTGTAGCGATCATTTGCCTTCGTCCAAGTTACAGATGTAGCGTTGCTAATGTCGAGGTAACTTGGTCAAAGCCTTGTATTATGAGCCGCTAATCAACTGATTATTCATACGACTAACTTTACATTTAGCAATGTAACATAAAGATTTGACGCACATTTCAGCAGCCCTCTCCCACGTTGTACTAGCAGGCTATCAGTGCCGTTTAGACAGGCTTTATCCAGTGAAGGCCATCCACCCAGGAAAATACAATATTTCTTCTTCTTCTTCTACTGATATTCCTGCAGGCTGTACACTGTAGAGTGGAATGCTGCCCCCACAGTCTAGGAGTGTGTACTAACTCATATCTTCTGATACAGGCATCCGAAGAAAATATGGAGAAAGATGAGAGTCACAGGTCAGATAACTCCCTGAATAACCTTTAATTCTATTTTTAAGAATAGACTTAAATAGAATAGAATAGACTCTCTCTCTCTCTCTTTCTCTCTCTCTCTCTTTCTTTGTCTCACTTTCTCTCTCTCTCTCTCTCTCTCTCTCTCTCTTTCTCTTTTTTAAGGCTAAACTTGCAGCGTTTCTGTGTTTGCTGTTGTTTTCTGGTTGTGTGTGTTTTGACTTAAGTTTTGTTTCTGTACTTGCAGCACGTTTGATGCTTATGCAGTTGTTTTGTCTATTTGCAGCGCGTTTGTTTCTTTGCAGCACGTTTCAGCCTTTACATTTGTTGTGGTAGTTTGCATTTGCTTTTGAATGTGCAGCGTTTCTATATATGCTGCGCGGTTTTCTAAATGTATGTCGTTTCATCAGTTGCTGAGCGTTTGACCCCTACCGACCACCGTAGTTAGATAACCATGTACAACTTTTAACCTTAAAAAGTGTAGCAATATTAAAATCTTCTCCGCTTAATTCTTTAAATATGAAAAATAAGATTTTTGTTCAAAGTCACAATGCACTACCAAAATGTGAAAGGCTGCATTTATATTTAAAAGAAAGCTTTTAAAGAGAGCGCAAGTCGGAAGGGAGTTGGAGAGCCTAGATGATTTTAAAGAGTTACTACTACTAGAACAGTTAAAAAATATTCTCCCCGATCGGGTTACTACTTATCTGAATGAGCATCAGGTTCAAAAAAGTTACAGATGGAGAATACTGAACACAAAGAAACTTGTTTATAGACCACTTATCAATGTTCATAAGATGTTTATTGACATTGATAAGACTTTATTAGGTTCATATTAATGCCTTATAAAGGTTAATAAATACTTATGCACTTATTAAGAGTTAATAAAGCTTCTCTGCAGGTACTGGATCTAAAGTGGGAACACTACTTATAAAGGTTATTAAATACTTTATTATGCACTTATTAACAGCTCAGTGGGAAAAGGGTCCAACTTTCAAATAAATGCAGAAACAAAAAGGAGGTCTATTGAACTTCCACTCAAACAGTTTTTGAAAAAAAAATGCTACTACAAATACAAGTATTATTTTTAACGTTAACTGTAAACAACATTATGTAAACATTTGGTGTGTCATAGCTACCAACATATCTGATCAAATTCAGGGAAAAAGCATAGTTGTTTTTAACCCATGTTACTGTAAATAAAGTGTTGAAGGTGGACAAACATCAGAAGACTAGGACACTTTGAGCCCAAGGTCTGAATACCAGTCAAGAGATGCACGCAGGAATACATTTTCAAACTTTGTATGTAAGGAACACAAATATTGCAGGTATTACAATATATAATTTACTAATGCAATTAACAACCTAATTAATAAAGTGTGCACATGAAATAAAACAAACATTTGAAGTGTCTAAGCCCAGTTTGGGCTTCAATCCAGGTGTGTGTTTCTGTTTAATCTGTGCTTCTGCTCTCTAAAGAAGATTTACTTTATTGATCCCTGCAAGGGGAAATTTCAGTTTTTACACTCTGTAGTCATGAACACACACATAGGCTGAAATATACACACATGCAGGATCCTATGAACATGCACTAAGGGAGAGATGTCAGAGTGACAGAGTGGCCCACAGCTGTGTGCTGAGTGCTGCTGAGCTGATGGTGGGGAGGGGGTTTGGTGCCTTGCTCAAGGGCACCTTGGCAGTGCTCAGGAGATGATCTGGCACATCTCCAGCTACCAGACCAACTTCCATGCTTGGTCTGCACCGGGCCTTGAACTGGCGACCCTCTGGTTCCCAACCCAAGTCCCTACAGACTGAGCTACTGAAGTGGCGAAGGAAGTTCTTCTTTAAAAAAAACAGTCTTCTTGAGGTCTTGAAGGTTGGGCTCACTCAGGCATCAACACAGGCTTCATCTCAATTTAAGTACTTAACATTTAACACCAAGTATTGAAATAACATCTGTTTTTATTCACAATTTTCCTTTAGCTCTGTTGTACGACAAAAAAAAGGTTAAAGATTTTCTTTATCAATTTACTGTTGAGCTTTTTATTGATAAGACAATATAGGAAACTTTGGAAAGTTGGACCCTGTTCCCACTGAGCTGTTACTAAGTGCATAATAAAGTATTTATTAACCTTTATAAGTAGTGTTTCCACTTTAAATCCAGCACCTGCAGAGAAGCTTTATTAACTCTTAATAAGTGCATAATAAAGTATTTATTAACCTTTATAAGGCATTAATATGAACCTAATAAAGTCTTATCAATGTCAATAAACATCTTATGAACATTGATAAGTAGTCTATAAACAAGTTTATTTGTGTTAATTAATGTCTTATTAATGTTCATAAACATCTTATTAATGTTTATGACGGTATATAAAGTGTTAGTACGTAACAAGAGCCTATAAGTGTCTTATAAGACATAATAAATGTGTTAATTATGCCTATATTAACACTTATATAGTCTTATTTGTGTTAATAAGAATCTAATAAGGTCTTATAAGTGACTTATTACCTCTTATTAATGCTTATTACAAGCACCTTAATATAAAGTGTTACCACCGTTTATGGTTGATTGTGGGCGTGTAGAGGGCGGAACATGGGGCTGATCTATGTGCACGCATTTCCAGGTGGATCGTGATTTATAAAGGGAACATTGTGTGCAGGTGTGTGTACAAACGGTTTTGTATAAATCGGAATTATTTTGTGCGCATTTCCGGGTTTTCAGCGCACGTACATTTTTTGTACGGATTCTACGCACTGTTTTATAAATGAGACCCCTGAACATTTCCAAATTAAGAGAGAAGCTGGGAACATTTTCCTATGAAGCAAAAAATAATATCCTCATTAATTATTAAAATTCCGAGACATGCAGACAGGTTTGAACTCATGTTTAATGTGCCAAACATCAAAATAAAGATAAGGCAGTTTTCTCAAATGATTGCATAATGGACACTCGACAACCTGTATTAATATCTCTGGGCTCAGCTGTGGCTTGAAACGAAATACATATACCCGTTGCAACAGAAAAAATCATATAGGCACATAAAAAGCGAAGTAGAGTGTTCTGGCACAACTTAACCAACTACCAAGGCACATGCAGAGTGAAGTCAAAAAGCTCTAGCAACAAGCAGTACGAAGATCAACTTTATGAACTTTATTTCACCCACCCATTTTGGGCTTGTGGCCTTTATTAGGTTCATACATATCATATAATGTATTTGTTGTGCCCATCAATGGAATGCATTGATGGGCATTCCCATTCAATTGAATTGAGACGTAAAGAGTCAGGCATACATTGTGTTCAATCTGTGAAAAATCATGCCACACTTGGAGAAAAATGCAACAGAAGCCAGTCTTTCAATCCATGATATTTTAGATTGTTTAGAAGGACTAACCAGCTGCCGAAATTACAAATTGGGTGTAATTGGGTTGCCATGGAAATTTCAATTTCTTATTGCATTCATCAGCCTGAAAAAGTTGTAAGCGGGGAGGATTGAATTTATTTGTTTTTCTTGATCCTTTCCAGTCCTTTAAAAGTCTTCAACCTTCACTCTTGCTGGGAACTTCGTAGCTCCTGAAGAAGAGCTGGAGAAGAATAATCAAGAATTGAAAATATTGTTTGAATATTAATAGTTGAATACATTTCTGGATACAAACTCACCCATAATAATCTCATCCTTCACTTTTTGAAGTTCCCTTTTCATTTCTCCCACAATTTCCTTAATAAAAAGTAACACACAATTCATCAAAATGTTTCATCATTATTGAAGTCAACAGTCTTTCAACAGACTTGAAGCGTTGTTTCATTACTTAGCACACTAGGGGAAACCTGTACAGGAAGTTATGACTATTAACAGTGCCTTCATATTGACATTATTGTTTTCTCTAAAAATAATGAACTGGAATACAGATGTCGAGTATACAATAACATAATATTGTTATTATCTTGATCATTGTTTTAACTACTAAAATGAACACTGCTTGGTGGAAAACAAGCTTACACGTTAGTTAAATGGAAGAATACAGCAAGGAGATGAAGGAACCAACCTGTTTGAACTGTTCCATATCAATATCACTTCCTTCACCTTCGGAGCCTTTTTTGGACACCTTGATCCTAAAATAAACACATTCATGAACCCATAGCAAAACCAGACTACTTGAGGTCTTATCCAAAAGCGAACTGGCCGTGAAGCAGTGGAGAGAGATGAGTGTAGACCTCATCCTTATGTTCATTTCTACTCTAATATTTTGACGTAAAAATAAATTAATCAATCAATCAATTTATGTTTATTCCACAATCATAGGAAATGAGTGCAATTGCAGGGGTAATCATGGCAACACAATGCAATAAAGCAGAAGATTCTAGATCATTATTGCAGCTTCAAAACCAGTTTTAGATGTTTATTCATTGCCTCAGACAGAATCAATTGCTGAGTGCTATTTGTTGCAGTAAGTCATTTGCAGCAGTCCTCTAATGAAACATATCAGTGGTCCGTAACATCAGCAGCATATAATGCAGAGAACTGACAGGTAGCATCTTGGGGCAGAAGGGAACTGGTAGCAGGTTTAGAAAGCGACAAGACCAATACCTGGACACTGAAGCGTTCGGGGGTTTAAAGAAAGGAGATGTGGAGTCCCTTTGATTGTTGGGAAAGTGTTTGGGCCTATTGAAAAAAACATGCAGATCTTTTTGGACAGGTGATATATATATTTACTTTACATACATCAATACATTAAGCTCTCATATATATATATATACTGTAGATGGCTGGCAACAGGCCTGAAAAGTCTTTCGGATAATTGAATTTGTATAGAATGAGTTGAATGGCTCACATGCCTGTCTACCTACCTTACTACATAAATATCCCCCTACATGTCCTGACTTCTACAAGCTAGTGAGATTGTCACACAGAATTTGCAGGGGAAGGTTGTATGAGGACAAACAATGGCTCCTCTTCACAATGTAACCTGTCAGGCTAATCAAGTTATTTAATTGACTGTATATTGGTGGCTCAAGGGCCATTTAGCAGTAAATATGATGGTACCTTTGAGTGCTGGCAGAATGTTCCTGAGCCTTTCCCTGTTTTTCTGGGGGAAAAAAGCATGATTATTTTTATGTTATGCACATAAAATATATATATATATATATATATATATATATATATATATATATTTGTTCAAACTTTATATTTTTTTAATCTTCTTTGTATAAAAAATAACATTTCTATCAGACAAAAATCTATCTGTCATTATTTGGTCTCAATATCGTGATGACATCTCATTGTGAAAATAAATAAAATACATGCAGAATAATAATAGTGACAAATGAATCATCTAAATCAGTCAACAAATCTTTAGAAAACAACTCATTCATTAGCTCGTAGACAAATTATACACAATAAAATAGCTTTTTAAACTACTGTATAGAATGCAATGAAGCAGTTGAAGCATATTTACTTCCTGTATAACACATTTTTAGGACAGGTGAAAGAAAACAATCTTACCTCCTGCCCCAGAGAATTTAGATTTTGAGCAGTTAGAATCTTCCTGTAAAATTATTCAATATTATATTAAACACACACATATATATATATATATATATATATATAAACATATTCCATGTCCTCATTATATAAATCTAACTGATCCTTCTTTAAATATTACAAAAAAACAATGAGAAAATCTATTAACCTATAAAGTCTGTAAACTATATGACATTTACCTTGTGTTCTGCTTTTTTTCCCGCAGGATCATCAGCAGCTTTCTTTCTATATAAAGGGTTGAATTGAAGAAATTCAGGAGACTTCAGAGTATAAAGAACATAGGTATATGTCCTAATGCTTAAGTAACAGCTAACCTCCTGGCCAGAATTGCACTCATTTCTCCCATTAAATTTCCAGCCCCACCTCCACCAGATGCCAATGCTGGTTTGGAGTCTTGGGTTGCTTCTCCTCCTTCACCCTGCATACAAAAAACAACTCCAGTAAATATGTTAAGGGAATTTGTCCATCGCTCAGCCAATTCTGTCCCTAATTTGGATGAACATGTACGCCATCTCTGCTGTAGCTTTGTCTGCATATTTCCACTTTAACAACAGCCAGCCTTGTCAATGCCCTGGTCTAATATTCTTTACAAACCTTTCCATATCACCCCTGTCCTCCAACAACTAAATGGGCTTCCTGTCAAATATCACATTGACTTTGAGATTCTCAATCTTATATGCAAGGCTCTCTGAAATATTTCATCGTTGTACCTCTCTGATCTCCTAAACTATCCGGCTGTACACTCTTTCTCCTTCCTGCCCCTCCTCTTTCCTGCTTAACCTCTATGGGGTCTCGAGGTTTTAGCCCAGCAGCCCCCCTGTTTGCTTCCCTGGAACTCTCTCCAACAAGTCACCCGTGACACTGACTCTCTCTATTTTCAAATCCAAGTCTTTAAAACTCACCTTTTAGAATAGCTTATTCATTGTAATCTGATCTTGAGCTGTTTTTAAAGTTGTATTTGACAACGTGACCTTGAGTGTCCTGAAAATCGCCCTTAAACAAAATGTATTATTATTTTATTATTATTATTGACTGTGGTTGGTGTATTGCACATAAAAAGAAAATGCAAATATATGCACATTACCGTGACAGTCTTACGCAGTTTAGCTCCTGCAAGAGCTGCAGCCAGATTGTTTCCCCCTCCACCTCCGACTCCAGAACTACCTCCACTTGTTTGAGCAGAGGGTGGGGATGGTGCTGGTGGGACATTGCTCCATGAAGGAGGAGGTGGAGGTGGAGGTGGAGGTGCAGGTGCAGGTGGGCAAGGTGGTCCTGGAGGTGGTGGGGGAGCTAGTTGGGCAGCTGATGGGGCTGAAGGTGCAGCCAGTGGGACTGGTTTAGCAGCAGAGGCCTGCCTCTCTTCCTCAAGGCTGTCCTTCTCCTGCTGTTCCTGCCTTTGACGCTCTAGTCTGGACAAAGATTAAAGATATTTCATAACATAGATATACTGCTGTTGGTGCGAAATCCCTGCTGTTCTTGAAATCTATTTAAAGTGATGTAAAAAATCTGTAACCTATATCTTGACAAACACGTCAAGGATTTCAAGAAAATTCATGATCTTTGGAAAATAAATCATAGTTTCAGGAAGTTTTGATGAAATAATAACCCGTAGCTGCCTTATCATCATAATAAAGCGTACCTTCTGTTTTGTTCCAGCTCCTGTGCAGAAGCTCCACGCTGAGCTGGACAGAGCAAAAAACATTATGTGAGTGACATTTGCCAGTGTGCTCCTCTAAATCCAGATCATTTAAATTTAGAGAAAAAATCATGAAAGCAAGGTTGAGGAATGATACAATTATACCATATATAACTTCATTTATGTTCATTAAATGTATACTTTTTTGATGTTGGGGAAAATGTTCTATGCACGAGTAAGCTACTCTTGTTGTGCATAATACTCTTTTATTTTAGTTAACATAGATGGTTTGGATTAATATTTCTTACTGACTGGGAACAATAGTTGCTACACTTTTTAGTGCAGCAACTCTGGACATTTTGGAAAAATAATGACAATCAATTGCAGAGTGGAGGCGGCTGCGGCTCAGTTGGTAGAGTCGGAAAGTCGATGGTTCGATCCCTAGCTGGGCAACATGTCCGATGTGTCCTTGGGCAAGACACTTAACCCTGAATTGCTTCCTCTGCTTCAGTGGTGGTGTATGAATGGGATTAGTTACTTCTGATGGATGATGCTACATAGCGATCACTACCATCAGTGTGTCAATGTGTAGGTGTGACCTGCAGTGTAAAGGTGCTTTGAGTAGTCAGAAGACTAGAAAAGTGATATATAAGCTCAAGTCCATATTTGACTTCAATCAGTTGTTAGGCTGTTCACATTACAGACACAATCTTCTTACTATGCATAGCTCACAGCACAAGAAGAAGCACGTTGCTTTAATTGGGTAAAATGTGCCCTCTACAATATGATTACCTGAGTCAGCCTGAACACTGAGAGCCTCTAAAGCTTGCATCATGGAATGGGCAAAAAGAGCAGCATCTTCTTTACTACCAAAGTTCAGCCCCCACACCTGCTTGGGATCCCGCCACTGATGAAAGTTGGGTGTGGCTTGATTATATTTCATCCCTTTGATAATGGGACAGTTGATCACCACCTAGCATGGAAGAACAGACATCACTGTACTGAGGATTTGTTAGTGTTCGGGTGAAATTCGGGAAAATTTCAATTTACTGTAAAAGTTCACATTTTTTCCTGGAGCCTTCAATGTGAACCTTTTTTTGACCTCAAATTCAGCTCGTGAATTTTATAGTGAAAATCCTTCCTTACAATTAAAAAAAAACATTCTTCAAGCTCTCTTTCTAAAAGGTCTCCTATCATAGGTCCCCAACTGCTATTTCTTGATCTGTCTTTGGCTCTGTCCGAAATAATTGCTTTAGCTAGAGAGATGACAGAGTGTGCAGATACATATGGAACTAATAAATAAAGGGAGGGTAGGAGGTAAGACTCTTTTGTAATTGCAATTTACAACATGGTGTGCATTTCTCTTCATCACGATTGTTGGTTCTCTGTTTTAATGAACGGGCCACTATGCATCTCATCCCACTGCATTCCTGTGTATTATAAAGACAGACACATAGAGACTTGAGATTGGAGTTGGACTTGGAATAAGTGACTTGTACCCATCTCTGAAATGATACAGGTATAGACAAAGCAGTGTAAGGCTTGTTTTTGAAGCCAGAAGAGATGGAAATGGTAATCTCTGCTTGAATTACAAGATATCTCTGAATGTGTTCCAGACGTAACAAGATAGCAGGTAAAGCAATTAAACACGATAGACAGAGGCCACAAAACATTTCAAAATGGAATCATTTTGAATGTGTGCAAAAGGATCAAAATAAATGATTATTTGAAAGATTGCTTAGTTACATTGTTTAGTAGGTATTCTGAAGTGTTTCTATCTAGAGAAATTAATATTTCATGAAACATTCATAAAGTTGTATGTGACCTTCCATGACCTGAAACAGATAAGGTTATAGTAAACAGTATTTGGCTGTCTTGTACCTGCTGGTCTGCCTGCAGTTTTCGGCCCACCACTCTGTATGTGTTGGCCACTGGGTTATGAAAGATCTGGACACGGCTGAAGGCAGGACTATCAGATCCTGCTGGCACCCAGCGCTTGTTAGTATCGTCATACAGCATTACTGTTGCTCTCACCTGGCAGATATTTGACTCACTTTTGGAGAGAAATATAAGAACAATATGAAAAGGGAGCAGTATGATGCATGAGATTTAGAGCACTAATGGGTATGGACATCAGATCTATAGTGGCAGTAATAATGCTTTAAAAATGACACGCAAGTTCAATCCTAATGCATATATCGTTTCCAACCAAGATTAGAATCCATTATAACATATGTCATTCAAGATTACGCAACAAGAGGATTTTTACATTGAGCTTTGAAAAATGATCTCTGATGGAAAGACAGCTTTGCTAAAGTACTAGCCCTTTAGAAGTTTTTCAACTCCTTTAGTAGGAGTTGAAAAGGTCCACCCTATGATACCAGCAGGGTGATGAACACACGGTGTGGATGGAAGAGGTCTGAGGTCACAAGAAGTGAGAGGGATGTCTGGGACAAATAAGTCAGTTAAATAGGCCTGATTGTGGGATTCAGGTGGATCAGCTTCAGTGTGCAGGAGTTGAACTATGCAAGAAAACTAACTACCCTTCAACTCTACCGTTTTGAGTTTGTTTAAGACTCTTCCTTCTGCCTTAAAACTTTTTCCTCCCGAACACCCAAATCTATTTTGTAAATTGTTTTCTCTAAAAAATTAAAACAAGGAGTGTCAGAAGGAAGTGACGACTCACTCGTAGTTTAAAAAAATGAAGCACATCATTACGAGTGAGATATACTTCCTTCTCAACTCTGTGACTTTACTTTCAGGGAGTCGATTAACAAGATAAGCTGTACGCTAAAAAACACAACATAAGATAGTCTTCCCCCATAGGCTGTCACTCTGATGATGCAAGCGTAACTGTCACAGAGTGTCAGAACTGTAACCAAACTTGTCAATGTAAATGTACATACACATTATTTCAATTTAAATGATCAATCTATACACACCTTAAATGTAAATACTCTAAAACTCTACTCTAAAACTCATTTAAATTATCTGTCACATGATTACATTTTTTTACTATCATGCTTACTTCAGCATATTGCACTCACCACTGCACTAATATCTTATTTAGTCTTGTACATATTAGTCTTTGCTTATTTTGTGTTTATTGTTGATATTTAATGTTGTACTTTTGTACAATTAGAACACATGTTCCCCAATGTAAAATAATATGTGTGTATGCATTCCTGGTCAAAAAGCTGATTCTGATTCTGATCAGTCAAAAAAAGGAAGTCACACTTACTAAGAGACTTAAGAATATATATATATATATATATATATATATATATATATATAGTATTTTGTTAGATTCTTAAGTCTCTTAGTAAGTGTGACTTCCTCTTTTTGACTTTGGCTGGCTGGTTGTGGATGGAGCTTATTAATGATCACAGTGGCCCAGGTGGGTTTAAACAGCGTCCTGGGGAATCTTGAGCCAGTGTGTGACCCAACATTGAAGCAAGAAATGTACGGACATCCACTACCTCCCGTTTTTGGTTCCTTTTCGTTTGACCAACATGAAACAACCAAAATACATGAGAAAGAGACCTTGTGCTGGCCGCTAGTGTGAAACCTGACTGTCGGAGCTCACCCCCATCTGCTGACAGACCAACAGATTGTTACATTTCAAAAAAATGTTTGATGATGATAATAATTCTAAACAAAATCTAACTAGAGCAGACTATCAAAAAAAGGTCCAATATGCCCATGAGAGGCGCTTATCAAATATAGACCCCATAGAGGTGACAAATGTATTTAATATTTACAGTATTACTTCAGTAAAAAAAAGGTATGCATTATAAAAGTAAAATAATTATATCTGAGAAGCAGCTAAATAACAGAGTATCAGTTATAAATGTAAACCATAACTGTACTTGGGCATAGCAAAACTTCAGTATATTTAGTCATATAAATAAACCATATTAGCTACTCAAAGATATATCCACATTTCTGGTAACATTTTAATGCTATTACAAAAGAACAGTAAAGATGTATTTACTTATTTCTGTATTCTGCAGGAATTGTGACATTGAGATTTATTAGGTGTAACAGTTGCAAGTGGGTTGCCTGTGGGAAATCTTTACTTCCTGTTCAAAAAGGTTTTACACTTCCTTTGCACACAATGCTGCCAAATATGGACTATATTTCAAATGTGATCAAACTTACCAACACTTTGAGCTCTTACTGTGTTTAGTATTATGTTCTGTCTACAAAATATACAGAAACTCATTTTCAAACATTTTCATCATGAGCTCCAGGCACTTAGCATATGAAGTAAGAACTAACGAATACAGTCAACACTTGTTCACAAGTTCAGTTCAGTTCCCATTTCAGCATTTTTGAGACTGTAGGAGGATGCATCTATCCATGACACGTTTTATAAGTGAGAGAAAAAGCCTTGATTTGAAAAACATTATTACTGTAAAAAGAAAATAACTCACCTCATTTTTTAGCTGTAGACAGTATCAAAAATATAACTGGCTGTAAAATGTGTTGCTCATTAACTGAATTCCTTTATTCTCCCTCTGACTAACACAAATATGTTGTTTGTTGAGTCTCATAAACTGTTAATCTATAGTGCATGCTCTTCGTTCCACGCTCTCATATGACGATGTTTAACTCTAACCACTCTTATTTCTGTCTTTGTTTTCTCACTTCCTGGACTGTTTTTTTTTTCTCTCTTCCTGTTCTTGTCTCCTTCACTGGTTTTCAAATACTCTTGTTTTAACAACTTTTCAATTTTTCTTTTACTAATCTGTATATATTAATATATTTATGTCTATGTTTTAGTTTTCCTTCACAGTTTTCTTTTTGTTTGGGGTGACAGAGAGAGAGAGAGAGAGAGAGAGAGAGAGAGAGAGAGAGTGAGTGAGTGAGTGTGTGCGTGCGCGCTCGCGTGTGTGTGTTTATACTGTTCTGCTTTTATGACATTACATGGGAACAGAACTGAATTAGCAAAATCCAGTTTTTCGTAGGGCTGTTGAAATGAATCATTTAATCGATGCATCGCGATGCAGACTAGAAGATTAATGCATCGATGCAGGGACAGGACGGAGCAGCGTTGAGTGAGTTTGTTTTACCTAAACACACACGGTGGTGTGTAATGAAAGTAACGTAGGCTAACAGAGGGATTTGTGACAGAAAACAACGTAAATTGAGTCCCAGTCCCTTTACAGCAAAAATAAATTTGTCTGATAAGGTCTCAAAAGTATCTAGGGCAAAAACAAAGTCAGGTAATTGTAATCTGGCCTGCATCATTACTAATGTGTACATGTTTACAGTCTGAGTGATAAGTGGGCTATACCGAGAGTAACAGGTTTTACTTTCACCGTGCAGGCTGAAATTCATAGGACTATATACGAGGGTAGAATATTTCTCTATGTATCAAGATAAAACTAAAGGTAAGATCTGATTTAATATAATTGTTACTGATTTAAGATCCAGATAAAACTAAAGGTAAGATCTGATTTAATATAATTGTTTCTGATTTAAGAGACTAACCGGAACGTGAAAGCAAACATCAACAACCTGCGGTGGTGTAATGTAATATTAACCGAGCATCATGCTGCTTAAACGTGATAAATGTTATGCATTGTCTCCCACACACGACCAATTTAACAGTCACAAGTTGATCATATTGTAAATTTAATGACGCTCATTGAGAAATTGTTCTAAAAATTGACAAAACCTGACAAACATTGCAGTGATTGTGACTGTATCTGTTTTTATCACCTTTGAAAGGAAGGTGTTAATGCAGGAGACCAGTGTTACACACAACATGCTGCTGTTATGTTAGTTAGGAGGAGACATAGGCACAATAAAAGAAGACATAAAGATCGCGTTTTTCCCCATACATGTTAATATGTTTTAAATGTCATGCATTTATTTTTGATTTCGCTTCAATAATCGTTAACGAAGAGAAACACCATGATTAAACTACAGGCTATTGTTGCCTTTTTATAGCCAAAGAAAACTGAACATTCACAGCCTCTGCATTCAAAAGAATTTCAACATTGACATTTATGTCTTCCTGTTTCCCTCTTTTCGCCAACATTATATTTTAAACAGGGATTTCCTTTTTCTCAGGTTGTGTGTCTCTCCCCCAGCTCGCCCCCTCCGGTGCACTCCTCTCCATGGTGCGCTCGTCTCCTCCCTCTAAAGCTGCTGCTACTCTGTAGGACGCTCTGATTGGGGCACCTCACCAATAAAATACTATTTTATATTTTATAAGCAGTTTGCCACCACACTGCACTTTTACTCTCTAAAGGCATATGAGTATGTGCGTGACAACTTTAACAAAGCTTTACCACACAGTCACACCATCCACACAGCTGATCCAGGATTTACTGTAGCATCTTTTACAGCACTAAAAGGTCATGTACAGGCCAACAGAGAGAAGGGAAAAGAAACAATCTGTGCTCTCAAATAACAAAGCTTTTTGAGGAATTACAGCTAATTTTTTTTTACTTTGCACAGTACATCCTCTGATAAATAAAGTGAAGTACTTTGATTGCATTTATGTGGTGTTCCTGTAGGTGACCATGATGCAGCCAGACTGAAGCAGCAGGTTGTGAAGGTGGACGCCATCATCTTGTCTTTGCTGTGCTGATTCTGAAGAGCATGTCTTCACATAGGACTCAAAGGTAAAATGATCTCTCATATGATTGGACCGTGTTATTGTAACCGCTATCGGCATCAAAGTAATTTTAGTAACAATTTATAATCCTTCCTAAAATGTAAGGAAGACTAGCAGAAGATTTTAACAGCCTCTATGGTTCTGCAAGAAGTTCATGTTTAAATTGTTCTTCTTTCTGTCTTCAAGGAAATCAATGCCCAAAGGAAACAGCAATCTAGACTCTGATTCCAGCTCCGGTGAGGTTCTGCACACAAATTAGCTTTCTGATTATATGAGAATGTTTAACATTAGTTTAATTCATCAGGCTGGCCCATGTGATGACAGTTTACAATAATCTTCAATAGAAATGGCAGGAACACTTTTGTCTTCAAACATAAATTCAGAAAGCTGATCATATTATTGGATTCATCCAGTCTTATTATATATTTTGTTTTTCCTCATAAATAGTTCTCCTGTCTTAAAAAACAAACTTTAGAACCTGAAGCTTAGCAGAACCTGAGGACAGATCTGATTTCAGGTCTGAGGCATAAACATCACAGTAAAATTCATTATACTTTACATTTAACTCCATGATTGTTTTTCTCTATTACAGAAGATGCTCTCAGATTCAGATCCATCAGCAACCCCTGACAACATGGAGGACTCGTCCCCTGAGCGTTTCCTGTCCTCTCTCGATGGAGTTCTTCTCTTCAGTTATTAACTCTTGAAAACAGCAGCACAAAATGCCAGACTGTTTGACAAGTCTGTGATTGAATAAATTGAAACAGAATCTCATGCGTATCTTGCTATGCTTATTGGCTTTAAATGTTTAATATAAGTTTGAAGGCCATTTATCTCAGACGAGCCCGGCTGTGACAAGCTGAGCTCGTCTGTTAGCTTTGCTGTTGTCTTAGCTGATGTTGGTCAAGAAGAAATTAATGTCAGTTCATGGTCTTTTCAAATGTGAACTATAAACTTAACTGCTAAATTAATTTACTGTGACCAACAATTTGTTGTACTCCAGTTAATCAGAGACAGTCATATCAGATTTTTAAAAAGTTTATTTAAACATTTTATGAAAAGAAATCTTCAATAAACAACCCTGGCTTCATTAACCATGTGGAAAATAAGTAAGGGAGACCATCAGGTTGAACTGCTGGGACATAGGAGAAAGTATAAAAAATAATTTAACAAAGAAATCCCAAGAAAAATCAAATAAAGTAAAGAGATCCTGGATGATTGTTTGACTGTTAAACTATGATGGAAAAGCAAATCCAACACAACCCTCCAGCATCTGGCCTTTCAAACACAGGGCAACATCATGTTAAGAAAAATAAATTAAATATTGACCAGGATCTCTGTGTTTTATCTGAGGATGACTATGGTAGCCTTCTCACTGTTCACTGTCACAAAGCACCAGACTCTGTCCACCTTCAGACGTCGATCAGCTCCTATGGGTGATGGCAGAGAGGACTCTTCATCTGGGAGAGCTGCTGGTATAAGGTCATTTCTACCACAGTGGATGAGCAGGGCATCAGGCACAGCTCTTAGTCCAAGCACAGGTGAAAAGAGGAGGAGGTTCCTTCACACTAAGCGACCCCAGCCTGACCTCTGTAACAGGTGTGCAGATGAAGGTTGAAATTAGTCATTTTTAGGTTCTGTTGATTGTAAAATGGAAAAGAAAACATCACCTTTCTATTTAACATTTAGCTGGTGTATGACTCAGTGTGATTTTTATTTTAGAAGACTGTATTGTTAACAATAGCTTGTTTTGACAATCCTCTTATGAAACTTAAAAACAATCACAGGATATAAACTTTTAACAGATGATTTTAACTTACACTTCACCTCTGTGGAAGATGTCAGACCAGCTGCTTTTATCTCTTCTTTACCTAAATGAAAATACAAAAAACAATTGATTTACTGTTCACTTAAATATATTAGAAAAGCAGACATGAATCACATTGCAGACTATCAGTTTCTAACAAAATACAACATATCTTAACACCTGTAGCTACGGTCTGTGGTGCTAACCTAGCTTAAATATAGCTTAAATATAGAACGATTTTATTAAAAACAGAGGACCCAGCAGCCCACGTATTTTCAATAATGATAAAAATAGCGGGATTTTTTAAAACACAGTGTGTTTAAATATTAGACTTTGAATACGGTGGTTTGTTGTACTTACACATTTCTTCATCGTAGACCGGCAGAACGCTTTCGGCGTAGCTGGGCTGCGTAAGTCATCAGGGCAGTACGCTAAGTGGGCGGGGCGTGTTACCAGGGCTCCTGCCCCCGGACCCTACTGCGCAGACTCTGGCTCCAAATGACGTCAAAATCGCAAGATGGAAGCGCCCCTAAGCGGCGTATTTTGGCTTCAAGAACGTTGAGTGGGAACAGTTACAGTGCGCGGGATTGGGATGGACTTAATATGGCGGACCCTCCGCGAGGATGTGCAAATGGAGGGGTAGTGGGTAGGGGTAGGGTGTAGTGGCCGGTTTGAAAAAGGGCCAGTGACTTAAAAACATCTTTCTCTCTGATAATAAACTAAACACACAGTGACTTAAAAACATCTTTCTCTAGTATAATAAACTAAACACACAGTGACTTAAAAACATCTTTCTCTCTGATAATAAACTAAGCACACAGTGACTTAAAAACATCTTTCTCTAGTATAATAAACTAAACACAGTGACTTAAAACATATTTCTCTAGTATAATAAACTAAACACACAGTGACTTAAAAACATCTTTCTCTAATATAATAAACTAAACACACAGTGACTTAAAAACATCTTTCTCTCGTATAATAAACTAAACACAAACACACACTTTTTACCTATACTGTAGGCTACCTCTATAATGTATTAATTTTAGCTTACAATGTAAAGATATTGATAATGACATTGTTGTCTAAATCACTTTTTAAATTCTACAGAAGGAGTTCATATTTATAACACTGTTTGTCTCTGTTTATGAAAAAGTAGTCATGTGCAGTAATATAGAAAATTGAGGATGAATCGTGATGCATCGTGATATCGAATCGAATCGTTGACTTCCCTCAGTCACTCACTCCTAGTTTTGTGGTACCAATCAGTGGGCGCGCACTGTAGCTGTTCCCACTCAACGTTCTTGAAGTTTATGCTGTAAACACAAGATCCCTCCCTGTACACAGTTACTAGTTGTTCTTTAGTTGA